TATCCCTCTCTCTCTCCCTCTCTCTTCCCCTCTCGTTCGCTCTCGAGTGCTTGCTTTCACTTTGCAGGCGCGGCCGGGCCCTTCGTGCCCGCGTCGCGGTCCGTCGTCTTTGCGCCTGACCCTCCCCTCCGCCGTCGTCCTCGCCGGCCATGTCGCCGTCGGTGTGGTCCGAGAGGTCCGAGGGCTCCGAGCGGGCGCCCCTGCTGAGGCTCCCCCTGCCGGGTGCCTCGCGGACCCCGGGGGCCCCGGAGGGAGTCGTCGAGAGGGACTCGCAGTGGCGCCAGCACATGGCCGCCATACTAGGTGAGAATATTTTACTCTTTTCTCTTCCTTTTTTTTGCCAGGCTACTTTTGACGATTTTTTTTGTTACCTTTTGCTGCAGGCACCCTCTGAACGCCGTGGCTATAGGCGACCACGGCGTTTAGTGGGCGTTTGTGGCGTGTGACAGCAGCGTTGTCCGTGCGTGTGACATGGTTGTCTCACACGCTAAAACTACCCCCAAAAATATGTTGTTTGCAAGCCCCGGAGCGGCCAGCGATAGCGCGAGTCCTGTCTATTCCGACATGCGCAGCATTCAATGCGACTTTGTCGTTGTCATGTGCACACAGTGTATTCATTTTGCCTAACGCTCAGCGTCGCTGCGCTTCCAGCTGCGGCCGCGCGGGCAAGGTCACCCCCCCCCCTTCTTTTCTCCCACCGTTACGCCACCGACTCCTCGCCTGGCCGGACTACCCTTTGCATGTCTCTTGCTAATCAGACCGGACAACTTTTGTTGAAACGTCCGTGCTCTTTTTAGACAGTACCCAAAGACTGTCCCTACCCCTAGCAATCCCTTTTACGTGTTCCAAGACATCGCTTTGTAGTTGTAAAGTAAACACACTCCGCAGTTACAAAAATATCGAAATCCTTTTGCAATCCTGCAAAGCTAGATAGCTATGCTTTGCAGGGGATTTAACAAGTGCTGGAGGGGACACACCGGCAAAGAAAACTACTGTAATTAGTTTGACGACAAATTCGCGGGGGAGGAGAGAGAGAGAGAGAGAGAGAGAGAGAGAGAGAGAGAGAGAGAGAGAGGCGGGGGCGAGAGCTCCTGCTCCTCGCACCGACCTCTCCCCGAGACTCCCCCTGCTCTCTTCTTCCACTCGCTCCCGACCCAATAAAGGACCATTTAGACTGCCACGCGGAGCCCCCTACTTCAGCTTCCGTTCCGGCGGTACTAATTGCCCCCCCCCCTCTCCATCCCCTCGTCTTCGCCTTTGAAGTAAACGTCTCCTTGCTTATCCCCTTATTGTCCTTGTGGCGCGTCGGATGCGTAGGAATTCAATTTATTATAGAGACGAGGCGATTTCTCTTTATCATTCTCTCTCTCTCTCTCTCTCTCTCTCTCTCTCTCTCTCTCTCTCTCTCTCTCTCTCTCTCTCTCGCTCTCTCGCCCACGCTCCTGCCTCCCCGGAGGACCTGCCGCCCCCGCGCGGTCCTTTCCAAAAGGAACAAAAGGGGGGACGATCCCCGTGACTTTTGTGGCTACGCGATACAAAGTGAGCGCCTTATTTCCCCGTACTCTCTCTCCCATCCATTCACGCGGAAATGTATATTTACCGTGAAAAGATCGGTGATGAAAAGGGGGGCCCGGTGAACGCTTCGGGCGTTAGTTACGGGTATGAATAAAAGAGAAGCAGACGAGGAAATTACTGAAAAAATCGGAAAAAAATCGATGATCGATGCCAAACTTTACCACCTCACTGTATCATGGGGTGGGTGGGGGATGAGAATTTTTTTTTTATGTTTTTAGCGCAAGCGGAAAATGCAAGATTAGCATAGTTGTTATCTTAATTCTCAACACGAGCAGTTTTTTTTTCAATTTCCAATTCTTGTGTTCTTCAACAGGCACCCTGCTGTCCGTGTCGGCCGGCACGGTGCTGGGCTGGACGTCGCCCGCGCTGCCGCTGCTGGGGCTGCCCGAGCAGGCCGAGGCGTGGGTGGGGTCGCTGGCGCCGCTGGCCGCGCTGCTGGCCGCCCTGCCGGCCGGCATGCTCGCCGACCGCCTCGGGCGCCGACGCCTGCTCATCTGGCTCGGACTACCCTACCTGCTGGGCTTCGTCATGCTTGCCTTTGCCAGCTCCAGCAGGGTAAGCAACCTGCTACAAAAAAAGTTTTGATAAGAACATTTTTTGAAAAAAGAAAAAAAAAACATTCTTGAAAAAAAAAAAATTAAAAAAAAATCTTTTGAAAAAAACAAAACAAACTGTTTCGATGTATATTTTTCAAAACTTTTTGGAAAAAAATAAATGAAATGCTTACAGCTGTGGCTGGTGTATCTGGGCCGGCTGACGTGCGGCGTCTCCATGGGCGCCAGCACGCTGGTGTTGCCCCTGTACTGCGACGAGCTGGCCGAGGACCGCATCCGCGGCGCGCTCGGCGTGTACCTGGACCTCAACATGACGGTGGGCATCCTGTTCGTCTACGTGCTCGGCGCCTACCTGACCGTCTTCTGGATGTCGCTCGCGTGCGCCGCCGTGCCGCTCGTCTTCCTCTGCACCTTCCCGCTCATGCCCGAGTCGCCTGTGCACCTGCTCGCCAAGGGCCGCCACAGGTGCGTCCACGACCGGGGCTGGTGGGAATGTTTCCGAAACCATCGCCAAACGAGGATTGACGGTCAACCGAGGTTTAACCAGGGGTATCAAGGGTTAGTCTGGGGGGTTTGGGGATAATCCGTGGGGAAATCCGGGGGTAATCTGGTCGGTAATCCGAGGGTAACCCAGAGATAATCCGGGGGTAATTCGTTCTGCACGAGTCGCTTCCCCCTCGCACCCGGATCATTCCTGGTCAGATTGAAATTTTATAAAAATTTTCCAGAAAATTTCCGGAAAATTCCCGAAAATTAACGGAAAATAACGGAAAACTCACAACGTCTGGGAAAATTTTTCCTTTATTTTCCCGAAATTTACCTAAAATTTCCAAAAATTTCCCTAAAATTTCCAAAAATTTCCAAAAAATTTCCAAAAAATTTCCAAAAATTTTCCGAAATTTGTAAAATATTTTCCCGAAAACTTTCTAGGGCTTCTAACCGTAACCCCCGGGTCAACCGTAGGTCGACAGGTCCTTCGTCCTCCAGTCCTCCCTCCAGGGCGCGCGCGCCCCCGCGCGGAGGTGGCTGGGCCGGCCGGCTGGCACGGCTGTAGGGCGGGAGGCCTACGCTGCCGTCCGCAGGCGGGCGACCGCTTGCCCGCGCTGAGCCAAGGCGAAGCCAATTTCGAGGCGATGTGGCGGGCGGAGCGGGGCGTGGCGGGTCGGGTCGGGGCGGCGGCTGCAGAAAGTCGTGCCACCTCGCCTCTCGCCTCCAGAGCGAGCGAGGATCCGTTGCGGTGGCCGTCTCACTCCATTGTCACCCCCTCACCGCCACCCACCACCACCCCCCAGTCGTTTGGGACGACCTCAAGCCTTTACGTTGCGTCCTATACCTCTGGCTGGCCCCCGCCCCGCCCCGCGGCCGTGGTGTGGTGGTGGCTGGGCAGGCCCTTGCTCACAATTGTTATGAGTAAACCCCAGGGTCACATCGCGCGCAGATGCGACGCGCAAACCTTCCCGAGCCCCCACCATCTCACCCCTACCCCCCCCCCTTTCCCCTCCTACCCCTTATCCCCTCACTGTAGGGGACGAAAATCAAATATCAAGAGTGGGGGCCCGCCCACGCTAACCGCTTCCAGCACTACCAACTCTCCTCCCCCCTCTCACTAAACGTCAACAAAATCGTTCAGATTCGCATACTCATCCATCAAAACTACACACTAAAAGCTTATGAACATTTTTATTCGTAGCTTACTGAGTTCTGTGTACGTGCTCGGCTTACGCATTTTTAAATACGCCGGTGTGAACAAATTTGTTCATATTGGCGTATTAAAAAATGCATAAGCAGAACACGTACACAGAACTCAGTAAGCTATGAATAAAAATGTTAATAAGCTTTTAGTGTGTAGGAAAACAAAGAACACGCCACTAACCAGGTGCGACTGGCGAGTAAAGAACTTCACTTGATTTGAAATGCTGGTAAATTTACAATTTTGAATTGAATTTTGATTTGAATTTTGAATTGAAATTTTACGACAACTTCCACGGAACATTTTCCTGTGCCCAGCAGCACGACAGTTTATCACAGTATTGTAGGGACGGGGAAACGAAACAGACGGGCATGAGAAACTCGTCAAAGACTTTTCCTTTTTAGTGCATGCACCTGCGCCTGGAACGGAGAGCCCGGGCGGTCCGTGTGCACCGAGCGTGCACCGTGTGCACCGAGTGTGCACCGTGTGTACTGAGTGTGCACCGTGTGCACCCCGCTCTCCGCCGTTGCAATAAGAGCGAGATCAACACGGGGTGAATAAATCGCGTTCCAAATGCAGACCAGACCACTCCTCACTCCTCTCGCACACTGAACTCTTATTCTTATGCAATGTTCTGTAGCATAATACTTGCAGAGCCTTTCCCCCCTCAAAATCATGGCTTAAACTTTACCAACACACCTTTTGTGAAACTTTTGTGCTTCACTGCAGTGGGGGGAACGCAAGTGTGTGAATGTCGCACACTTGCTATTCGCACACTTGAGGAAGTAAAAGTGTGTGAATTTCCCTTTCAAATTCACACACTTCTGCCTCTCTGTGGTCGAATGGGACGTTCACACACCTACAAGTGTGCAAAATTCACAAACTTGCGTCTCCAGTGCCATAACTCGTGGTCACATCGTGCCACGAGCACGACACCTCAACCAACCCAATCCCCTCCAACCTAAGAAAACACGCACGGCAAGGTGGTACCCCCGACCGCTGAAGATACACTCACACTTAGCTCTCTCCCGGCTCCCGAGGAGGCGAGTTTTCCTCATGCGGCGTTTCTCCTCATACCCCTTTCGCCCTTCGCCGCGGGTCGTTTGATGTACCCGTATATTTATATTTCCCTCTTTCCTAGTAGCACAGAATTGTCGTTCGACTGTCGGACAACAGTAGAAAATAAGATACGGACTATCGGTGCGATATACGAAATGAGAAAAATGATGCCATCGGTATACTATCTTTTTTCCTCGAAACGAAAATCTTTATTGGCCAGCTATCGTACTGGAAGCGAAAAACCACTGTTGTGGATTCGATCAGGAATCGATAAAAATACAACAGAATGGTAGTTAGTTTAAATTTGATAGGCCAGGGACAGTCGTCTGACTATAGAAAAGCCATCACTTTTGGGTTTTCGCTATCGTCACAATAGTTGGACGATTGGTAAAAATTACACTATGGGCGACAGTTTTGTGATACTAGGGTTGGCAGAGTACCGCCGCCGAAAGCCGAGCGCTGCTTCCCGGAGGTCGAGTGGTGTGTGGTCCTGGCCGGAATGGGGTCCCGTGTGAAGTGTGGGCCTGACCAAGGGCCTGGCGGCCGGGGCGG